GAAGCTGTGGAAGGTTTATCGAGCCGGGCTTGAGAATTGGCTCATTGGGTTGCTGCAGCCGGTAATTGATGATTTGAAGAAGCCTGACTATGTTGAGAGAGTTGAAATCAAGCAGTTTTCGCTGGGGGACGAGCCGTTGTCTGTTAGGAATGTCGAGCGGAGGACGTCCCGCCGCGTTAATGATCTGCAGTGAGTTAAAATTTTCAATTCAATTATGCTTGTGTTTTGTTTGATTGGGTTGCTTATTTTCTCTACTTCAATGTTCATGATAGACTGATTGTTTATGTGGAAATCGAATGATGAACTTAATGCAATGTGCTGCTGAATATCCTGTTTAGTAAGTTGACAAAGCTTAATATTTGTTGGGCCGCTAAGATGTAATTTGATATTGGATGCTACGAAATGATATAAAACAATGAATTTAGTGGATGAGTTCGATCAAAGCAAACGTTAAGATAATTGATCTGACATCCTTACCATTTTTTCATCAGGGTAGATCTTTATGAAACTGATTTGCATGTTTTTTTTTTTTTTGTCAAAATACTTTCTGTGCTAACTCAATTTTCCATTACACTGATTCTATATCCCTTTATTTCATTTAGGTACCAAATAGGTCTACGTTATACTGGTGGTGCTCGTATGCTGTTAATGCTCTCACTAAAATTTAGCATTATTCCCATTTACGTGCCAGTTGGTGTTCGAGATTTTGATATTGATGGGGAACTTTGGGTCAAGTTACGGCTAATACCTACGTCGCCTTGGGTGGGAGCCGTTCAATGGGCTTTTGTTTCACTTCCCAAGATCAAATTTGAATTGTCGCCCTTCCGCCTGTTCAATTTGATGGGTATGTCATATATTCATAACCATGTTTCTATTTACTAAAGGTACTATAGCACTATGTTTGGTAGATAAGATAGATTGTTTTATATAATGTTAATTGCATTTTTTTAGGCTAAATCGTTTTATGTCGAAGATACTGATTATTATCTTCTTCTCTCGTCTATTTCTGCATGGATTGGGCAAATTCAGCAATTCCTGTTCTCTCAATGTAAGTGAATCTCATCATTCTCAATCGTTAAATTTTTTCTATGCGAAAGTTAATGGTAGACAACAAGTCGATAATCTAGTATTCACTCTGGATTTGTATGCTTGTTTGTTTCTTTCACCTTTTGACTTGGATCCCTAAATGCATTTTGTAGGTTTTTGACAAAACTTCTCACTGAGGATTTACCTAGATTATTTGTACGCCCAAAAAAGATTGTCTTGGATTTCCAGAAAGGAAAAGCAGTTGGCCCAGTCGGAAATGATTTCAAGTCAGGGGACATACAAGAAGGAAACAAGGATTTTGTTGGAGAATTATCAGTGACCCTCGTAGATGCTCGGAAGCTTTCCTATGTTTTCTATGGTAATGAATGTCTTCTAATGTGAAATAATTTCATTTGTTTTGATTTCATTTTTTTTAAGCTGCCGTTGGCTTATGATAAGAATATCATAAGTATTCACTTGTCCACTTTCGTTTAGAGACTCAATAACCTGTTGATCTAATTTTTCAGGCAAAACGGATCCCTATGTTACACTAAGCCTGGGAGATCAAATTATACGCAGTAAAAAAAACAGTCAAACTACTGTTATTGGACCCCCTGGTGAGCCGATCTGGAATCAGGTGAACCGTCTTCTAGTGTTGCTTCATCTACTATATTGTAAAATTTGTATATGTAAATTTGGAATCATGTGTTTGTATGTGCTGGCAGGATTTTGATATACTTGTGGCCAACCCTAGAAAACAAAAATTATACATCCAAGTCAACGATTCTCTTGGATTTGCAGACTTAACTATTGGTACAGGAGAGGTAAAAGATCTAATCCTTTCAAATACTGAACTTGTTTTCAGGATTGGCATGGTCGTAGCATACATGATTGGGATGCATGCATGTAATGTTTGTGTTTTTGAGGTAGAGGGTTATATCAAGAATGAGATATGGCTGCATTATTTGATTCTTCTCATCTAAAGTTCTAAGGAGCGCAAAAATGCTCCTTTTTCCCCTCTCCATAAAAATTTAAACTTAGATAAGGGATAAAAGGAGATGAAGATAGAATTGACAAAAATATCCCAAAAGTTTATTCCTGCCTAATTGCGCATGTGCCGCATGATATAGCAGCTAATGGTTGAATTCACTGCCTTCAGAGGCAAATTGGCCCATTAATACTACTTTCAGATTTTCGGAAGTAAATAGTTATCCATTAATACTTCGTTCATTTCTAGGTTGATCTGGGATCTCTCCAAGACACTGTACCGACGGACAGGATTGTGGTACTGCAAGGAGGTTGGGGCCTCTTTAAAAAGAAGTCTGCTGGTGAAATACTACTTCGACTGACATATAAAGCATATGTTGAGGATGAAGAGGATGACAAAACTCAGGTGGCTTCTATGGATACCGAAGCTTCAGATTCAGATGATGAGTTGTCTGATTCTGAAAAGGATAAACTAGAGCCTGCAAATGAAGCAGACAAAGAATCCTTCATGGACGTTCTAGCAGCTTTGATTGTGAGTGAAGAATTTCAAGGGATAGTGGCATCCGAAACAGGAAATGCCAAACTTGTGGATGATATCTCAATTACAGGGTCAAAATTTTCAAAAATGCGGCGTGGACTTGATGCTGAATCTGTGCCTTCAAATTCCAATAATAATTCGGAAGGTTCTCAAGGTATTTAATCTCTATTTTACCTCTTACATCATTATGTAAGTAGTAAGTTAGCGATTTACTGTTGATTTTTTGACTGGTGTCATCTCCTCATCCTCCAAAAAGATTAAAAATAAACTTGTGAAATGCAGGAGTATCCATGGAATCCACCTTACTTTGGCTTTCATTACTTGCCGGCATGTCAGTGCTAATTGCACTCAACATTGGTGGCTCAAATATTTTCAATCCTTGAGATGCGAAGGAGCATGAGAACTAGATCTCAAAACTAGCTATAATAAAGTAATACTGGAAATCCTTCTTCACTGGTTCCACATTACTCCTTGAATACATTATAGCTCATTATCCAGCTTACTGTTTCGGCGTAGCCCGTCACTTGAGTTTGGATTTCTCAGAGAACTACCCTCGTCCATGGCAGGGTGGATAACTCTCCGGTAACTTCAAGATGGACGGACTTACCGACTGAATTCATTTCCAACGTCCACTCTACACATTGTATACTTGTGATTATTGCAGAGGAAATTCCATCGGCGGCATTTTTCGCTTTTTTTTCTTTCATTTTCTTTGCAAGAGGCCTCCATGGGTAGTGTGATAGTTACCAGGTATCTTCTCTTTACTAACTGTTCATATAGCCTTTCTTCTTTCTCTTCTGAAACAAGGAGGTTTTAAAGGTTCTGTAATTTAGATTTGGGGACTGGAAACAACTAATGATTTACTCATTGATTTGATGTTAGAAATGTATAAGGGCCTAAGCCCAAAGATGAAATTTTGGAAATGGATTCATATTTCAAGCTATTACTTTGTATTTTAGATTTGGGCCTATCTCAATGGTGAAATAATTGAAGTGGATTCACAATATTAATATGGGCCATCTTCCAAGTTATTTGAAATTGTGTTAGAGAAGCGATTTCTACACATCCATCTCTTAGCGTGCAGAGGCGAAAAAGAGAGCGCAACATAATTTCTCATTGCATTAATAGCCGTAGAATGCAAAGATGTGGTTTTGAAACGGAAATTTCTCTATTGTATTAAAGATGTTAAAGAAGTGTATTAGTCGTTTTATTTTCGATTTCAGTTATTTATAATATTTAGTGCTACATAGTACTTAAGAATTTTTCGAATATAATACAAAAAAAGATTTGTGGCATGTAAAAGGGAATATAACCCTCACGTGTGTTGTGTGCATCATTTGATATAAAGGCATGTAAAACGATCAAGAAATGGAATCACGATCCAAAACATTGCATATAAAAAGAAAAAGATATCGTCTACATTTTAACCTACCTTTTGAACAAAGGTCAAATGATCATGATCATCGCGATTCACGGATCATGATGATTCTCCATAAAAAGTGCCCTTTATTTTTATATCTCAAAATATTGTTTTTTTAATGACTCACGTATAACAATTTTTTGGGCAAAGACTACCATTAATATTATTCACTCACCAACAACAAATAAATAGCCAAGCAATATCGAATAACAAAATGAGTTATTATTAACAATATAGAAAATGTTATTTTGCATCTCTTATTTTATTAACAAATTTTCCTTATTGTGTTTTATAAATTTGAAGTGCATAATCAATTTTTATATTCTAACAACATTTGTCACAATATAGATTTGCAAATAAAATTTTCGTTAAAATCAAATTTCACGAGTAATTAATATTTATTATGTATTTAAAAAGTAAACTAACTGTTATATCATATGATAAATCAATGATAAAAAGTAATTTTTCAATATACTAAAAATACAGATATATATATATATATATATATATATATATATATATAAATAGAAAAACAATTAAAAAAATTCATCGATTTAATATAACAACATTAGACATATTATCCTTGTTTTGAGCATATTAAAATGATAAAAACAATATATTAAAAAAGAGGGGCATGACACGCGGCATGGGAAATTCCGGAAGTGGCACATGGTGGTGGGCTGAGTCCAAAACGTGACAGCCAGCGAATCTTATTGGTTTGGTTGGTGGAGATTTCCTTCTGATTGGATCCGTCTCGGGCTCTTCAATCTTTTGCCCCCTTCGTTTTACTTTCTCTACATTTTTTAAAATTTTCAGTAATTTAAAAAAATAAATAAATAAATGCGCTGGGCCTCAGACACGCATTGTCACTCTGTCACTCACTTGGGAATCGGATCCCCTCTGGATCCAAAGGAACTGAACTCAAGAATCAAATAATCTAGACCATTGAAATTTAATCTAACGATTATAAATAAGAGGTTCTATAAAAATTATAATAATTATAACCGTTAAATTAAATTTCAATGGTCCACGTCATTTAATCTTAGGCTCACTTACTTTGGGTCGGAGGGGATCCGCTTCCACTCTCCCTCAATCACTCACTCTGGTTGCTTCCAGACTTGCCATTAAAAGTTGGTTCCTCTACGGTCCTCTCTTGCAATTAGTTCGCCATCTTCAGGACCAGGTGCTCTCTCTCTCTCTCTCTCTCTCTAACATTGTGTTTTGATTACTGCTAGATTTTAGCCGTTTCGTTAGAGTTTGAAATTTTGCGACTTTTTGTTCGAATTTGTTTTCTTTTTGGCTTGGGGGTTGAATGTTGGGTGTGTTTTTGTGCTGAGATCTGTTTGTTTCCTGAGAAAACGAGAGAACATGGAGCTTTCAGAGTATGGTTTGAGTCTTTCTGAAGTCTCCTATTGAGTGTTGCTGGACTTTGTTAGAGTGTGTTGAGGCGCAGCGTCTCGGGTTTAAACCCTCACCCTCTCTTCCCTTACTGCCCTTAGTACTGTAGCTCCCTTACTCTCCTTTAGCTTAGAATAGTAACATGGCTCTTAATAAAAAAAATTATTTTTAGTAGTATCGCTTGTAATAAAAAAAATTATTTGTAAAGAGAAGTAGATCTTGAATTTGAGAAGTCTCTAATTCTTCTTCAAGCTTTAGCTGATATTAAAGGTCTCTCGGACTGCGGTACAGTGATATTTCTCTCTACTTATAGGTGGGACCGTGGGAGGTCTTAGGTTTGGGTTTGGGCTTTATGTATAAGGTTCTTGTTTTGAAAGTGGTACCACTATATCTGGATATTATTTATGATTTAGTTTTGGAAAATCAATTTTCTTGTCAAGCATGTAGCATGTGTTGTTTTTTTTTTCAACGTATGTTTACAATAACTAATTGCCATTAAGGTTGTAACTGTCAATTTAGACAACAAAAATGCTACTTTTACCATAATTTTCATACCACATTTGTACCACCTCTCTAATAGAGAAGGGACCGACATGTGTTGGTGTGCCCAACCTCTGTTAGAGAGGTGGTACGAATGTGGTATGAAAAATATGATAAGTGTAGCATTACTCGACAAGACAAAGATTTGTTGTGCATTTTGTGTTTGCGAACTCTAGTAACTTGTAAATCTGACAACTCACCATATGCAAATTGAGCTAATTTCTATGTGGAAGCAAAATCCGTTCTGGAACTCTAATTGCATATCCTTATCAGGGTTTTACGCGTCACACTCGATTTTCCAACTATAGCTATAGTAATCTCAAAAAGGAAAGTTTACATGCCTGGTAAGATTCTGAAAAAAATTGAGAATTATAAATTTGTAGCGCAGATTGCTTGCGGATCAATCTAGTTTTGGTACCAATCCTAGCTTATCTGTACGTCCTTTTTGGGTAGAAGATGGACAAGATCTTTGTTGCATTCATGTATCAGTTATAGTTGAATTGTCACTTCTCTTTCTCCTTCATTTGTTGGTTTTGTATTGTATTGTAGCTTTCATTGACATTGCCATGTAACGTTATTAGAATTTTGCGTTTGCTGCAATCAGCATGAGGGTGATCTGTTTATCATGTATGTAACAGATAGTGTAATGTATAAAGAATGTCTAATCCCATGTAATATGGTATAGAAGTATATACCTTTTTATTCCAATTGTGTTACCTAACAATTATATTTTTCGTACAACAGAGTAGGCCTCCACTTCCAAGATGTCGGATCTTCAAACCCCACTGCGTCCAAGGAGGAAGACGGCTGTGGTGGACTTTCTTGTTCAATTCCGATGGATTGTTGTTATCTTTGTTGTGCTCCCCATCTCCTTCACTATGTACTTTCTCACATACCTCGGGGATATAAGATCTGAGATGAAGTCCTACAAGAGGCGTCAAAAGGAACATGATGAAAATGTTCAGAAGGTCGTAAAACGGCTCAAAGACAGGAACCCATCAAAGGATGGGCTTGTTTGCACAGCACGAAAACCATGGATAGCTGTTGGAATGAGGAATGTTGACTACAAGCGGGCTCGTCATTTTGAGGTTGATTTGTCTGCATTCCGAAATGTCCTTGAAATTGATCAAGAGAGAATGATTGCAAAAGTTGAGCCCTTAGTCAACATGGGGCAGATAACCAGGGTAACTGTTCCATTGAATCTCGCCCTTGCCGTGGTTGCTGAGTTTGATGATCTTACCGTTGGTGGTCTCATTAATGGCTATGGAATTGAAGGAAGCTCTCACATCTATGGACTTTTCTCTGATACAGTTGTGGCCTATGAGATTGTTCTTGCAGATGGCCGAGTTGTCAGAGCCACCAGGGATAATGAGTACTCTGATCTTTTCTATGCTATTCCATGGTCTCAGGGAACATTGGGGCTTCTTGTCTCTGCTGAGATCAAGCTGATACCCATCAAGGAATACATGAGGCTGACATACAAACCTGTGGTGGGAAATCTGAAAGAGATTGCACAGGCATACAGTGATTCTTTTGCTCCGAGAGATGGAGATCAGGACAACCCCGAAAAGGTTCCAGACTTTGTTGAAACCATGATTTATACTCCAACGGAAGCTGTGTGCATGACGGGTAGATATGCTTCAAAAGAAGAAGCAAAGAAGAAGGGGAATGTGATTAACGAAGTTGGGTGGTGGTTTAAACCCTGGTTCTATCAGCATGCCGAGAAAGCACTAAAGAAAGGGGAGTTTGTAGAATACATCCCGACAAGGGACTACTACCACAGGCACACTCGGAGTATTTATTGGGAGGGAAAGCTTATCCTTCCATTTGCTGATCAGTGGTGGTTCAGATTTTTGTTGGGCTGGATGATGCCACCCAAGATTTCTCTGCTCAAGGCTACTCAAGGTGAAGCCATTAGAAACTACTACCACGACAATCACGTCATTCAAGACATGCTTGTTCCTCTTTACAAGGTTGGGGATGCTTTAGAATGGGTTCACCATGAGATGGAGGTAAACATGTCTTGTGTTACTTAAACTCGAAAATCCATTTTGATTTTAATCATGTTCCCTACTCCATTTTGTTAATCCTGTTTTGTTGATTCTATAGGTGTACCCCATCTGGCTCTGCCCTCACAGAATGTACAAGAATCCCATCAAGACAATGATATACACCGAACCAGGCTTTGAGCAACACCGCAGGCAGGGAGACACGCATTACTCTCAGATGTACACAGATGTTGGTGTCTACTATGCACCGGGCCCCGTCCTGAGGGGTGAGGTTTTTGATGGTGCAGAAGCAGTTCGACGGATGGAGAATTGGCTGATTGAGAATCATGGTTTCCAGCCTCAGTATGCTGTGTCCGAGCTGAACGAGAAGAACTTCTGGAGGATGTTTGATGCAGGGCATTACGAGAACTGCAGGAGGAAGTATGGTGCTGTGGGAACATTCATGAGTGTGTACTACAAGTCCAAGAAGGGAAGGAAGACCGAGAAGGAGGTGCAGGAAGCCGAGCAAGCCATCCTTGAGACTCCTATCGCCGAGGTTGATGAGCCAGTGGACTACTGATTTTGATTTTTTAGCTGGGGATTCTGTTAGGACTTGTTGCTTTTCCTTTCGCCCTTGATTTCTAGTCAGTCTGATCTGAGTAGTTTCTTTCATGTGATGCTGCTTTAGCTCTGATGTTCGAGTGTTTTTCGTATGGATTACGGGACTTTGGGTGTTTTTATTGACTTGAGACTCGCGGGATGTTTCTATTGACTTGAAGACTCACGTTACCTTTAATGATGTTGCGTCGTCTTTTCGTTCTAAGTTTTATGGTATCAAGTGCTGACCAACTTTTTATTTTGTTATTTTATTATAACTACTTCGATATTTTTACATTAGGGAGAGTGAGAGTTCGGCTAAGCTACATAATGGGCAAATTAATTTGGTATCGAATTTTCCATCAATGAGATTCGAACATAAGACTTTCATCTTAAAGTAAAGAAGAATATCATCAGATCGAAGTATTGATTAACTTTTAAGCACAAAGAAACTCAACCTGGTTTGCAGATTTTAATTTGGCCAAACCTGGCTTTGCATTTACGTGAACGATCCATAAACAAATCAAGGCCATAGCCTCTTTTATAGGGTAATCATTTCCGTACTCTTTTTTTATTTGTCGCATCTTTCTTATTTCTGTTTTTTAGCTCTCTTTTGTTTTATTCAATTTAATGTCTGAAAATAAAACTTGTGCATGAGAATAAAGTAAACTTCCCTACACATTATTGGCTTATTAACTTATCTACGCATTATTAACTTATCAATGGTGTGTGGTTTATTTAAAATACAGTCACAATATCATTTTGTTATAATCTAATTTCTCAGATAAAATGCCAGAGACAAATTTCGGTAGTTCACCCATTTCTATGTAGTTTTTGTTTCCCTTGCACCATACAACGCGGAAATCAAATTTGCATATAACAAGTACACCACCTGCTACGCATAAAATAAGAAAGAAACCCTAGACCAAAACAAAATTAAATAGGCCCCTTTTACTTTCCACAATTTTATTTATTTTTGGCTATTGATCTTATTTAATTTATTCTATCCGACAGTCGAAAATTTAATTTTTGTCCATTGATCTTATTATATTTATTCAATTTTACAGTCAGAAATTAGAGGAGAGTTGAGAGATAAAAACATGTGTGGACACTAAATTAAATACACAAGAAAAAAGCAATTAGTAAAAAATTTAAAAGTTATAATAATTTTTAATCGTTGGATCAAAATTTAAAAGCCTAGATCACTTGATTGGTCGGCTTGAAGGGAGAGATCCGGAGACGACCTCTTTCCTTCAAATTTCCCCTGTAGACCCTAACACAGGTCAGCGAGACAACAGCTCCACGCGCGGTCAAGTGTGGCCAGCTCAAGATCCCCACGCTTCGGTGTACACGTCATACATCGTGTGCCACCGTCATACTCCATCGCCCACGTATTCCTTTTAAATAAATACTGCCCTTATTCTTCCCACGCAGCCCACCAAATTGCCGAACGCAAAAGCGAGAAAAAGGAAGTCGGCAGCGCACAAATACAGTACAAGCACGGGACATTGTTGGCTGACTGTAGAAGAACCGGTACGCTGCGTTTTTGCTTTTAGGGCTTGAAGATCTGTTCCTCCTTCGACGCCATGGTCAGTTTCTCTGGTCTTCTCTTTTTTCAGTTCTCAATTTGTTTCCTTGTTCTGCAATTGCTTGCTTAGATCTTATTGCAATGCGTTTGTTAGCGATTTTTCAATTACTGCGAATTTTTTCCTGCGAACCGTTTGGCTGCTCAGAAAACTGAAAGGGAAAAATGGAAGACGAAAGTTGAATACTTTTAAAGCAGATTTTAATCGACCATTTTGAATCTGATTGCATAATTTTATTTTATTTTTAATTTGAGAATGAAGAACCTGACTTAATTATTTGTCAAAATAATTGTCCTTTTATCAATTTTATTTTGTGTTTGTGTCAGCTGTTGTTATTTGTTCTTCAGCCTAAAAAATTTGAAGAACTAAGCTTTTTTTTTTTTTTTTTTTTTTTTGCCTAATAATTTCATGTGGGAAAGAGGATGTAACCCACTAAAATTATTGACTTCATTTCTGCAGGGATCTGTTCTGGCATTTACAGATGATGGGGTTCTACCTGTTAGTCTAGTTTTTGATGCATTAAGGGAGCTCGGGACCGAAAAGTGTGAACCTCAAATTGTCACTCTGTCTTCTTCAAGTAAGCTTCTTATTCATTTTTGTGATTTAATGTAGTTGTGTCTCTATTCTCCCGTAATGCCATTCAATATGTGTCCATGGGTTACAAAACTTTGCTTGATTCTATCGCTGCTTATGAACAAGATTCATGTCCGGAAGTCTGATATTTCGTTTTGTATCAGTTCTGCTTAGTTTATGGTCCAGGGCAGGGCCGGCCCTGAGTATTGAGCGGCCCTGAGCAAAACTTAGATGGAGGCCCTTCATTTTTTTTAATGTTATATTTCTTTATTATTATTTTTTTCAATTTTTTCATCTATAAAACTAAAATATTACAAGTTACTGCAACAAAAATACGTTGTTTGATCAGCCAGGTGTTTTTCCTTACCTTCAAAGGTCCCGAGTTCGATACACTTTGGATGCCTTTTTGTTATCTCCTGTTTACAAATTTGCAAAAGCTTAAAATATAACAAAACAATATCACTGGGATTCGAACCCAGCACATGGGCTATAAGAAAGAAGAGCTAAACCGCTTGCGCTAGAACCATAGATAAGATTATTTTTTTCATCTAATATATTTTATATGCATATGTATACATGTAATGTAATGAAAATTTAGGGGGCCTTCCGAATCGGGGCCCTGTGCGGTGGCACCTGTTGCACACCCTCAAGGCCGGCTCTGGTCCAGGGGCAGCATTATATAGCATCTCAAGATCAATTGCTTAGTTTTTATGTTGGATCTACCGGTCTGGGATTAGCTATTTATTTTTATTTCGCACTAGTTTGTCATGTGCGCAGTTTACGTAGTAGCCAAAAATATAGTGTTCATCTCATTTTGTTTTGATATATGACATGACAGATCAGCTGCCGGTGGGGTCTTCCTCTGTGGACATTGTGTTTACTCTTTGTAGATCGATTGAATTTCCAAATGAGCAGTTGTTAGGGGAAGTCTCAAGAGTCTTGAAGCCTGGTGGAACAGTCCTAATTTACAAGATATCCGATGCTTCGACAGGGGAAACAGATAAGGTCATTAATGTTGACATTGTGACATTATAGATTTTGTTTTGGCATGAATGAGAAATCTTACTTGGGTTCTCTTGCAGACCACCTCCGTTCTTGAGCGCAAGTTACTATTGTCTGGTTTTCTAGAAGCAAAAGCTCTTCAAGTGAAATCAAGTTTACCATCTGAGCTATCTTTTGGGGTAAGTTTCAGTGTTACTAGTATCCATTGGTATAGATTTCTAAATTCCCTATCCTCCCCCTTGCATGTTAATTCAATAACACAAATCTCGATTCAACTCACTTCGGCCTTATTACCAACCGTTTGGAGTTGCTACATGGACCATTATCAGGATCTAGATAGGATCCTACTTGTGAAGTTTCTCCTGCCATTTAATCCTGTCTAGCACTATATTCTCCATTTAATTTCTTGTAGGCGTTTAATTGAATCTAATCTACCCACCTCATCAATCTCCCTATGTCTGAATTGCCCAAGGCTTTTGCACTGCAGTACTTCTGTTTTTTTTGTAGCACATGAGTATAGCATCCGATGAATGTTCCATTGTTATCTCTGATTTTTCCGATTACTCTAGCATTTCATAATTTCACAAGAATGAAAAGAATATCTTGGTTCACAAAAACTGTATCAATAGATTTTATTTGTGGATGGATGCTTTTAATAAAATTTGTAATTTGGATCATGTGCATTTATCATGGGATATGATTTGCGACAGCTAAAAATTAGTCATTCGAACCTTAATTTTGTTCTTTTTTGTAGGTCAAGGCTAAAAGGCCGTCTTGGAAGATTGGTTCATCCTTTGCCTTAAAAAAGACCACAAAAAATTTACCAAAATTCAGATCAATGATGAGTCAGATCTCATTGACGAGGATAGTTTACTAACAGAAGAGGACTTGAAGAAACCCCAGCTGCTTTGTAAGACATCATGGTCCAAATTATGCTTTTTTGAATCATCTTCATTGTTTGTCGGCCTCATGAGATTCTTTTGGGGATCAACTGTAATTTTTGTGGTCTTTTAACCATGTACCAAACACTGTGCTTGTGCAGCTAGTGATTGCGAAGTTGGAAGCACAAGGAAAGCTTGTAAAAACTGCACTTGTGGGAGAGCTGAAGAAGAGCAGAAAGTAGAGAAGTTAGGCTCCACAGTAGATTTGAGCAATTTCAAGTCGCAATGTGGCAGTGTATGTCCTCTAGTTTTTCATCCATCTGCATTTTAATGTATTTTTATTTCTCTGTTCAGTTTTGTTTACTTTGCTTTGAAAATTACAATCTGCAGTGTGGACTAGGGGATGCTTTTCGATGCGCTACATGTCCTTTTAAAGGTCTTCCTCCATTCAAACCCGGCGAGAAGGTATTTTCTTGATTCAAAATCAATCCCTCGCTCCCTCTCTTGCTCTCTCTGGCACTCGGGCTAACGTTCATCTCTTTCCAGGTATCACTGTCAGCGAACTTCCTTACAGCAGACATCTAGACTAGAACCGCCTTCTTCAGATACATCTGAATGGTGCTATGTGTTGATGGTATTCTTTGCTCAAGTTACCGCGCTTCGGATATATGAACTTTTGGGTCGCTCTCTCTGGATCAAAACATAAATTCTGGTTCAGAATTTGACAGTGTGTCCTTAGTTTGGTCCATGTTGTCAATGTCTTATTACCGTCGGATAAATTTGTTTCTTAGGTTTATGTTTGTCTTCGATTTCCAAAGCAACAGTGCTTATTCCAGATAATAATCAGAAACTTGTTATGTACCTTCTGCTGCAATGCATTAGCTCACGCTTCTCGACTACTTTTCTTCTCTTTCACATGCTGAATTTCCGACATTTCCTGAGAGTCCGTGAGCAGACATACATTTTCGGATGGAGATCCTCTGCGGAGTCCACTCAGCGTTCATGAGAAATCTTGGCGTCCGAGAGATATTACGTGTGAAGCTCAATAGGATAGGTTAATAGGGAACACAGGGTTTAAATTGAAGGGTCTGAATTGTTCGGTCAACAGACTCTAAAGTGTGAGATCTGAAGTGGATCTCAATCCGATATTTTCCACAACTTTTCTTTCAAGTACTGAAATGAAGATAATAGTGAAGCCATAAGAAACCATATACGCAGGCAACGATGAAGTTTATTATTCACTCTCCCACAAAAAATTACACTTCCCTATTCGCACACGACTAAATCTCGCATGTATTAGCTACTAAGTTGTTGAGAGAGGAGGACAAGAAGGCCTTGAGGACCTACTAATATCTCATTTAGGAAGCTAATCAATCCGAACCACACCACCGGCGTTACGTCCACACCGCCTAACGGCGGGATCACCTCTCTGGTTGCCATGAGAATCGGCTCTGTGGGAGCATAAGCCACCACATATGGGAACTTCCCAACCGGAAGTTTTGGGTACCAGGACACGACTATCCTTATTATGAACAGAAACGAAAACAGCGAAAAAAATGGACCCAGAAACCCGATTGCTAGCTTCGCGGTTGCAGGGTCCAAATCTGCCACCACCAAGTTGTGCATTAGATTCGAGACGTTATGTGATGTGCCCAGTGAGCCGCCAGTGCGGAAAATGTTTGAAACCGCATCTATCTCATCCGATGGCTTCAATGACAATAGAGTGGTAGGAGAAGGAGCTCCGACTTGGACCAAACAGAAGGAACATTGTGCAATTATGAGTCCTTGCTTTGGCTGCCTTTTACTTCTTGTCTTGAAGCTTTCCTAACAGACTGGAGAGAGTTTGTTGAAATCATATGCATAGAGTTTGAACAGAGCCAATTTTAGAGGGGAAGCGATTTCCGCACACTCCACTTTTTCTCCTTCGCACTCTTCTTGACTTTGGATTAAATTTGCAACAAAACACGAGCCGATGCGCGTGCATATAGAGAAAACGGGTGCGCGCGGAAGTTATTCGCTTCGAGAAATTTCACAAAGTTCAAATTTTGCAATGGAAAAACAGAACGGGGGTACTCACAGTAGGACTGAGATTTCCAAGCTTGGATATCCTTATCCTGGAGGGCCATCCTACAACGAAATGGAAATCAAGAACACAAAATAATGAAATCTTACAGAAAGCTACTCTGAAACCGAAAAACGAAAACCAGTTTTAATTGGTACCTTTAATCTGGACATGGTTGAGGAGATAAGAACAGGTAGCCATCGGAGAGACTAACAGAGAGAGAGAGAGAGAGAGAGAGAGAGAGAGAGAGAGAGAGAGAGAGAGAGAGAGAGAGGGAGGGAGGGAGGGAGGAGGAGGAGAGGACGAGCAACTGAAATGTTATCCTTTAAACGAGAGGTGGGGAAGTCCACTTTTAAACATGTGACCGGCAACGTCTATATTTTGGGTTAACTCCCCACCACCAACAACCCCCACCCCCTAAACCCCCCCCCAAAAAAAAAAAATCCAAACATTATCTAACTCATTGCTGTAAGCTAACATCTAACAGTGAATAAAATTAAACAAAATTGTTTCACCTTCTCCAATTAATTTAAATTTATAATACAGATTATCCATAACTCGATAAAACCACAAGTGTTCCAACCGCCAACCCTACAAGGAGTTTCTCTTCAGGGATGGGGGTGTATACACCCCGCGAACCTTCAAACTCTTGCTTATCATGAAAGTAAAATCAAGCCCCCCTCCTAAAAAATTGACTAAAAGAAAAGGAAAAGGAAAGTAGAGTACTTCTTTTACTTCTTGTGTCTATGCGTCTTCTTTTGCAAACTTGGCAAAATTGAGCGAGAGCAGAGGGGAAGATATCTTGACAAGGGATACGGGAATGCAAAGAAACGCACGAGGTTTTGGCAATCCTTCTCTCCAACTTCATCAGTTCCCTGTGAACTTAAATGATTCAAATAGGTTTTTCCCTCGTAAATAAAACTCAGTTGCTGCCACAGAAGTATGCTCAACCCTATCTCCAACGAAACACTTGAAATAAACAGATATAACAGAAGAAGCCCTCTAGGGGATAAAAGGACAGCAGATCTTAGCAAACCATATATAATCTCACGGATAGCTGTTATAGCTGAATAACTGTCAAAGGCATGCAAGTGGTCCTCGGCTTCGTAGGTTATGGATGGCCAGCTATGATAACACACATATATAGCCATGATAGAAATATAGAACGTGCTAGTGACAACTGATATGAGTAAGGCAATGAAGTGTCGGTGGTTAGCTGCACCAACACAATTCCCAATCTGCATCAAAATCATGCAGTTACATTGCTATTAGTATGCGTGTTATAATCTCAAATCCAAATCTACCAAGTCTTACTGATACCTAGAAGTCAAGTGATTAAAAGATAATGCGTTTAATAGACAGAAAAGATATTCCGTCAAACAAACGACCAACATATTTACGAATTGGGAAGAAGATGACAACACTCACAAATGGGCAGTGATGATCCATGTCCAATATACACTTTCCACAGGACCGGCAATGATGAGTGCTAGGCGACTTTGGCTTTGAGCATTGGTGACAGAAGGTATAATTATCGAGATCACTTTTCCCCACAGCTGGATAGCTTCCCCACACTCTGCATGGAGGAGTTCCAGCACACGCAAATGAAGCAGAACTGAATGTATAAACAGTGGCTGCAGATAACATGAAGGCAATGATGGAGTGAAAAATTCCATGGAAATAGCTGATACCGAAAAGAACAGGGAACATCGCCCACACTCCACCACCTGCAATTTAAGGAAACATGTCAACATGAAAAATAAAAGAAAAACCTCATAAAAGTAGTTTGGCCCTGTTTTAAATTTAAATACTACACGGAAAAATACATTGAATTTGGGATTTATGAGCTCTTGCATACGCAAAATCTATCTTCTCGACCTGTAGAACATACTAGACAATGCAAATTTGGTAACACGCTCCTCAATCCCCAAAAAGAAGCTATTAACTCGTCATTGCAGTTTTACATTTTGCAATTAAAGTAAATTTTCTTATCTTCTTTCATGGAAATCTTTTGACCATTTCCAATAGATCAATTAAATTTTCATACAGAAGATAATATAGAACAGTGAAACTAAGGATACATAATGCCTAATTATTTGGGAGGGGTGAATGTCAACAAATGTGCAAGCAAAATGGAGAGAGATTCCAAAAAGAATTATACGAGCAATGAGTACATACATATCACAAATAGCATAAACATGAACAGGATACCGACAAAGCAGCGATCCCGCAAGCGTCTCAACCAAAAGTACTTGCATTCACGTTTCCCCGCATTTTGATTTGTTAAAGCTCCACACCAACCACACTTGAAAATTGGAGCATTTGACGGAAGAAGAAGGTGTAATCCACAACCCCAACATGTGACGTCATAGTCCTCCTTGATGGATGCTATGAAATGCTCCTATATGTAACCCACAAGTAAGCAACCAAGAAAACAACACAAACTTGCACAACCAGTAAGATCCATCAAAGGTGTTAAAAGCAGGTATATACATGTCCCAGCTCTTCATCAACACATTCGCAGCCGGACAACCGAATCTTTTTTTCTTTTTTTAAACTACCGAATCTATTATTAGTTTCTCTGTTTTATGGAAAACCAACTAATCTAGCACAACTTATTTCTTGCAACATGAATGTCAATCATTCAAACGCAAAAGCACACTTAACAAATGAATATTCACAGAAAAACACTTACCAATTAATCAGGCAAGCAATTCAATTGTACTCAGTCTAAAAACAACTAAAACAAAAGTTAAAGGGCTATTAGGCATTTTAACCAAATTGATCTCCAAGACTGGCCTTCGGTCGCTAACAATGAAAATCGATAGAAGTGGTTCATGAGGTTGTCCATCATAAGTCATTTTGGAATTTCGTGAAAAATATGTCAGTATCCTCATTAAATTGTCTTGTGAACTACCACATGACCACTTTTTAAGAGTATTTTTGTAAACCAATACTTCCACTTAATAAGAATTTTTCACGAAATGACTAAAATGATTTACTGCCAATAACCATATTGAGGAGGTATAACTCCGCCTATGTCTTACATGGCCGGTCCCAAGCCCGGATAAAGGAGGAGGGGGAGTGCGTCAGGTAGTCGACAGCCGGCACTCCATGATCACGTCGAATCCTTATGAAACCATATTGAGGAGGTATGACAATCTCATAACTCTTTTGGCTAAAAACCAAGTTAAAATATATAAACTGATAGATAAGCTTAGGCGCTTCCAGGTTCCAGCATCCAATTACCATTTAGCTTTTGGAAAAAGAGGAAACTCAATAAATATGAAGAACAGGTACAGAAAAATGCAACAGAAACAGACCAATCAATTGGGTTTTGGTCAATTACTATCTGATTAAACTACACACACACACAAAGGATGAATTTACTAACAAAAAAATCCGATTAAGTTTTGCACAAAGTACCGTCCATCCCCGATAGAAGAAGAAAATGACAAAATTACAAAAGAAAATAACAGAAAGCAAGGGGAGACGAGAGAAGAGTTTAACCTTGGGCAAGTCGGCCATGATTGGAATTGCCGTTGGAGCAGCAGCTTCAGAGGATTCAGAGATTGAAAATGTCAAGTGATTGCAGCTGAACCGGAATCGAATCCAAGTTCTGCAATTTCAAGGGCTCCTCCTCCATTTCACATTTCACAGACCGACCAATATTTTATTGATTGATTGGAGAATGTTCAGTGCCAAATCGAAGTCATCGTTTTCTTGTCGCGTTTGACCGGATCCAATTTCCGGACCGGCCAGCCGAACCCACCCCCAATCACCCGCTTTGGACTCCCAATTTTCCTTTTTGGGTCAGATTTTGAAATTTGGGCTTTAATTTTGAAACTTGGGTAGCGCCAATGGTCGGGCCCAAATCAAGTCCACCCAACTCATTTGGGTTATTTATAAATGGTGATTCTCTCTTTGTCAAATTGTCTTACACTGAAAAACAACATATTCTGGAGTGGCTAAGAATGTCTGTTCGAGAGCATCCAAATAAAATTGAAACGATACGAAGAATTGTTTTAGAGCTATTGGGCACCACTTCCTTAGAAGCTAGTTTCTAAGGGCAAGTTGAGTTCCACCCGCTAATGAATGAGTTACTTGAGGCCAATCGAGTTGTCATTTTTTAAAAGTTGTTTGTACAACTTTTGTTCGTAATTTTACATTTATTGTTCAAGAATGTCAATCTAATTGTTAATTTTTCTTAAATTGTTTGTGTGACTTTTGTATGTTTCAGCATTTTATTTTTAGGAGTGTAGTATCTACATATCCCTTTTTACTTCTCATACACATTTTTAGTTTTCGGCCCTTGGATTGGATGAATTGAAGAAAATTAAAGGACATAAATTAATAAGGAGGGTATGAGAAGTAAAAAAAAAGTGTGTGGATAACACATCCATATTTTTAAAGGAAAAACTAATGAAAATGACTTGAAAACTTTAAGTTTTAACCAGAATGACAAAATAAATTGTAAAGTGAATAGTACCAGGATTGACTTTTTAGTGTAAAAATGTAATTTTTCGATAAAGTGAACAGTACTGGGAGCTTTTCGTTAAAGTTCTCCATTTTTAAAGTTGCTTTGGGTCCTCAAAAGGAACAAAACATAAACTTAAAGCATAAAGTAAAATACAAATTTCACATTAAAGCAACTTCATCGTTACTTATTACCTTGGGGATAGACAACCCAATCCAGTCTAGCCCCTCCCAAAATACTACAGCCCACTCAAGCAAGCTCAATGCGAGCCAGATGAAGAAGTCAGATAATAATCACATGACCCAACACCCTACCTATGTGATGCAAGGCTGACGTCAACCACAATTTAAGTTATTAAAAAGTTACAAAAAAAATTATTAAAAAAAGTAAAGCATAAAGCATAAAGTAAAATACAAATTCCACATTAGAGCAACTTCATCGTTGCTTATTACCTTGGGGATAGGCAACCCAATCCACTCTCGCCCCTCCCAAAACACTCTAGCCCACTCGGGCAATTAGACTTAAGGTGAGCCCGATGGAAAAGTTAGCCAATAATCGCTTGGCCCAACGCCTTGCCTATGTAACGCAAGATGTCAGCCACAATTCAAATTATTAAAAAGTTTTTAAAAAAATTAAAAAATAAAAAAAAAATTCTATAAATACCTGACTATGTTCTTCCACTTTACATTACATTTCAATATTTTCAAATACTTTCAACCAATATTTTATTATTATCCGATATTAAAAATAAAGTTATCTATTTTTATATATAAAATAAAAAATACTAATATTTTAATAAGAATTAACTAGGTTATTCATTTTAGAGATGGAGATGCACTTGGGCATTTATTGTTCATTTAAGAAGATTGAGTTGTCTATTGCCCCAAATGGCCTTACTACACTAGAAGTGTTATTAGAGAGAGATACAAAACATAAAGCACAAAGTAAAATACAAATACCACATTAGAGAGATATACAAAAGCAAAAGTATAACTAACCACACAAAAAGTGTTGGCACAATATTTGTGTTGCTTCATTTGCATTTGAGAGCAAGAAACAACTGAGTTCCTTCATTACATATGGATTATATTTGGTGAACAAGTTATCCACTTTTTTCATAAACCCTATTAAACACTTGATCCGTTATCTCACTTCCAAAATGCGTTTAAAAAACTCCCCCAACCCAGCTCTTAGCTGCATTACGAGTCCCTGTTTGTAGTTTAGATGACCCATTTTTAACCATGGGCTTGTCGACTCCATTCTCAGTATGTTGAATCATCAATTCCTTTCAATAAGCTACATTATCTCCTTTGGAGTTGTGTTGTATGTTAGAATGTTGAATGCGTCCATCTCTTTTTCACTACTCAGTCCCTACAAGGTGAAGTGATATAAAACAAACATAGAGGAATTAGATATGTTACAAGAGATTGACACATTGCCATAACCAATTGACTTAATTCTCGTCTCTTAAATCTTTCTAATTGAACACATAAGAGTTGCTAACTGACTTACTTCCTTGGCAATCTCCATAAGAGTAGAGCCCAGAAAATCAAACATGATGCCATTTGGAATCCGGCTGGAGGGGTCCCATTTGGGATGGCTTGCGTGATTATCACCACTACCATTCCACCTACCACAAGCTCTTTAGCCCTAGCTTCCAAGAATGCCTGCCATGTCCTTACCAAACCGGGCTGCATAAGCATCAACTATTTCATCAGGGGAAGTCATATAGTAAATATTCCCCTTGTTCCACACCGGAGAGTTCTTGTCCACCACTTGTTCTAGTACCTTAGAGAGCCAATGAGCCACATACGAAGAATGCACGAAATGGAGTGAGGACTTGGGGAATAACTGGCCGTGGAAGGATCCCGGCACCCCAGCTGCAAACTACAACTTTTCCGGAGGCAAATGCGCGAAAAGGGTGTTGAAATCACTAGCTATGTGATCACTGAAGAATACTTGGAATTCAAGCATTTGGGAGGATATGCATTAGGATTGGTACTTGTGTTTCATTGCTTGTATAATGTTTTGGACACTAAAGAAAGTGTTTGGTCCAATTGAATATCCCAAATCTGCTATCGTATAAAATATGGTCTACCACTGTTCATTAAAGTATAATTTCTTGCAGTGCTATATGCTAAATGAAGCCCTTTGGCCATCGGTTGGAAATGGCCTTAGAATTCAGCCGAATGAAAATGGACTTGCGAGTCGGGTATTTGGTTATGGTGGGTCGACAACCCAGCTGATGAATGAATCATTTTGGGCTGGGTTAGCTAAGCTTAAGATGAGAAAGGCGAGTTTGAAGCCCAGCTTAATCGGTTCATTCTAATTAGCTGGTAGATGAGCTTGCCAGAAGAGATACACGATAAGATGAGAGAGTATAGAGTTCAACTGCTTGCAATTCAGAACGAGGAGACATTACCTTGTAGTGTTTGAATTCAAATGTAAAAAATCAAAAGTTGCACAAAGTGCGATGAGACACCCTACCCCAAATGTCCAGTGGACACTAAAAAGCAAGACATGCTGGCCATCACTCGGATGGGCGACGAAGCAATATTATGCATGAAATCATAACTAAAATTATACACTAATATAGTTCTAAAAAACAAAAAGAAAAAATTATCAACTAATATAATCTACCAAAATTCGGGGATAAATCCAAATCAAAACCCTTGCATGTATTGCATTTATTTCACCAGATCCCCAAATGGCCACACTTAATGGGTCCCCTACCTCATTTACATGCATAATAATATTTTGAGAGCATAGCTGTCTAATACCAATTTATGAATAATGCATTTAAATATCACAATATATGGTTTACATATTTATAATTAACTGTAACTTTTTATTAATTTTATACAAAATCACCCATTTATTAATTTATAAGATTTTATGTAAAATTTTGATTGAAATTTTTTAAAATCTCAATGATGACGTAATATTTGAAATGTTTAAAATACACTATGAAATCATTTAAAATTAATTCTCAATTGAACACGCATAACACTTTATAATCTCCTCTAAAATTATATTGAATTTATATAAATCCCTTAAAATTATGTTTGAATGCCTAAAGTTGTAAAAATTAAAATTAAAATATCTCAAAACCCCAATTAAATACATTCTAAAAAATTAGAGTGTGCAAGTCACGCAATCAAAAGTAATGAAACTGTGAATGGAAGTTGGATATAGCTGAAACGCTTATGCGTTGATTACTTTTTATCATGAAAAATGTTGAAATTTGTATTAAACATACAAGTGCTTCTTAACATACATTTTTCTTGCGAACATTTTTACGACTTATAAAAACTTTCAAATATTTATGCTTTAGAATCGTTTGAAAAAAAACTATTTCCAGAATAATTCTAAGTATATCCTCTCTTTTTCCAACAATTCTAAATATATCCTTAATAAATTGATGTCATAGATTATTTTTACCAACCTGCCTAATTTTTACTTTTACAAAAAGAAAAAAAAAAGGCATATATTTCCGCAACACAAAACAAAAAGGGTTGCGTTACCAATTAAACCCCAATAGAAAAGAGATGAATGAGGAGTGGAATTCGTGAGAAAGGAGCTATAGCCTTCCGCGCCCTTCTCATTTCACTGCCTTGCCCTCGTTTCACGTCTCCTTCTACTCACACTCATTTGCCGCCGCCACTCCTCTATCGCGGACGGCCCCTCGCCGCTGCCTACAGGTGCCACTCATCCTCGGCGAAGGCCTCGACTCCCTCCGCCATGCCGGGCGCTGAATCTCAGGGGCTGGAGTGGCCGGCGAAGCGCGTCAGGGACACCTTCGTCAAGTTTTTCGAGGAGAAGGGCCACGTCTTCTGGAAGTCTAGCCCCGTCGTTCCCCACAACGATCCCACTCTTTTATTCGCCAATGCTGGTTCGTCAATCCCGATCTCAATTCCGCTTTTGATTTTTGTTGAAGTTGACTTGTCACTGGATTTTACCGTGGCGGAAAACGAACCAGGCGGTTCAGTCCCGTCTTATATTTTAGGGTTTTGTGCGAATGTTGAACCTGAATCGGGTAAAAGGGCGTAGTCACAGGTAGCAATTCGTCGTACAACGGAGGCACTGAAATACCTCGTTGGTTCGACGGTCCCCGTACCTCCATTTGCGCCCGCTGAAGGGGGAGGGTTTTGTGCGAATAGTAACCATTTGCGCCCCATTGAATCTTTGATTTATTTTTCTAGTAACTGTGCATATATTTGTTAATTATC